AGTGTTCAAAAGCCAGTAGCTACCCAAGGGATCTGACAGCTTTCTTCTATCCAGAGAAGTGATTTAGTATGTACAGCTTCAATTCAAACTGTGCTTTCACCTTGACTACTCCATTGCCGCTCCAAGGATGAAAGGGTGGTTCATTACCACGTCCACTCAGCCCGTAGCTGTTCAGGTAAGATTGACAAGAACGATGATAAAAGGCGGCACTTCTGGTAAATGTATTTCTTTTCCAACGGCAGGCTGACTGAAAACCAACCAACTTAATGATTTGCAGTCATGACCAATCTGTAATTTGCACAAGCGCCACCAAACCAGAAGTGAAAAAGAACGAAGGTCATTATTACCTACTAACCCACACAACCTCCACAGCATCCCTTTTCTTCACTGTTGCATATTTCTGTCAGAGAAACAGAATTAAAGTTCTAGAGAAAGCGCAGTGCCATTAGAAAACCATTGCACAGGCTCTGACCCTCCCATGTGAATTAGAATCAAATTACTTTTTGTGTCTGTCTGGGCACACGGATCCACTCAAAATGAGAATCAGGACTTTTAACTGGTATGACCTTCTTGGTTTTTTAAGAGAGTGCTCAAAAATCCTGCAAGTGAATTCAGTAGGGCAATTTCTAGGTCTGAAATAAAGAGTATCTTTGATATTTTGTGGATCAAAAACCTGCTCATCCACTTGTGTTTAGATCTCCACAAAGTACCACATTATTGCTTAAATAACAAACAGAAATCACAGTAGAAATGATGAGCAAGTAATCCAATTCTGCTCCTACAAAAAACATTGAAAAATAAATAACATACTTGTAATAATAGGTGAAAACCATATTATTTTCTGAAGTCACATAAGGCAATAATTAGATTATTTTTCAATTTTTTCCACTTGGGATTATTTTTTAATTGGGTCAACTGAATGTGAATACGTGACGATAGATGTGAACAATTTCAAAGCAGCAACATTTTTTAACAAGTTTGGACGGGGAGGAGAAATAAGAAGGTGAAATGTAAGTGCACTCTGTCAATATACATCTATATTTTCTATTTATTGTCTTTATCTTATGTAATGCTGAGGACATTTCCTTCTGTATCGTTAACACCTCATATTGCCAGTGTTGACAACTCAGGAAAATAGCCTGCTTACTCACCAAACGTTCATCAGCAGAAGCAATGATAAGAGCCCTCCACAAAGTACATAATAACACTCCCTACAACTCTCAGCTCACTTTTTCACCCAGAGGCTTACATAAATGACAGGGTTTGTGATGTGCCTCCGCTGCTAACAAATGGGACATCCAAAGACAATCAAGGGCAGATCTGCCCTCTCACAGGGAGTCAGTCCCTTTCTGCCCAGCAGAGACACTCCAGCCCACCCTTTCTGTGGACCACCCCAAATCCCCCCTACTCAATGACTCGCTGCTTTTCAGGCTGCTTCTCACTTTGCAGAACTGCTCCCTGATGCCTATGTAGGAGTGAAGGACCCAAAATAGATGAGGATCAGAGTTCATTTTCAACTCTTTTACAAGGGGCTTAGAGGGACTCTTATCTCTAATTAGGAAGGTGGCTGTCACAGAAAGATATGTTCTGCTTCGACTTACACTGAAGTCAATTGTAGTTTAGGTATTACAACAGCTGAGGAAGGATTAGTCACTACACATTGAAAGAGAGAGAAGCAGTAAAGCAGAATAAACTGGAGTAGCCTATTAGCTCTCTGAAGGTGAATTATGCAATTAAATGAAGTGACATAAATACCCAATCATTAGGTGGACAAAAATATCAAATTTACATTATTTAAATTTTAATTGGAATTTTAATTTTTACCCTTAGCATAATGAAAGTGATAATCCTATCTTTTAAAAAATGTATACAATGAAAGCTCTGCTCATTTTCCCCCGAACTAGAAACTGGAACTCCACAAAGTCTGAATTATTTTAGCCTTGCTCAACTAAAATCTAGCCATTAAAGACCTCTTTTTCTTCCATAAAACCCACAAAAATGTCCATTCAGTCTTAAACAAAATGTATTTCTCCTTTAAATAGTTCACAGACTTTAAAAAAATGTAATTTTAATATGTACAAATTAATAATGAATCTACAGTTCATTACTAGTATGAAATGCAGCAGTTTCTAGAAGGTACTATCAAGTGGATGATTGCTTTTCAAAATTGCATTAATTTCTTATTGTGTAAAGGAAAAATACAAAAATCTAGGTCTGCAAAGAAAAAGAGCGGAAAAAAGTGCAATATAAATTTAACCTCCAGATTCTTCCGTGATACTCACGTAAGCCTGAGTATGTCACTTAACTCTTGGACACATCTATTACTGAAAAAAATTGGAACGGAATTCTGTAAGCAAAACCATAGGGTAGAAAAAATGCAGGTGTTGTCATTTCCCTCTTATAAATTTTCCAAGTTCTGTACCTCAGTTTCTCCATCTGTCACGTTTTGTTTTGTTCCTCTCTCTTTTTTTTTTAACGGAGAGTTTTTGTGAATTCTTTAATTAATTAGTTACTGTTTTTAAAATACATTTTTGGATACAACATGATACAACACTACTAAATATTATTATGGTAACAGGTAATTAGAAGGCCAGAAAGCACATATGTGAGATCATAATACAAAATTAGAAAAACTGCAGGCTGTGTTATCTGTGAAGAGAAAGACACAAAAAATCTCCAATAGAAAAGGATAATGATGACTACAAAAAAAAAAAAAAGGCAAGTAGCTTCCTTGCTATTAAAGGACTTGTGCTTTAAAAAGGCTGGGTCTCCTCCTCTCTTATGCTTGCTAGGATGATACTTGCACTGCAGTAATCAAAACAAGGAAGCAGATGGACAGGCAAAGTGGTACTGCAGCTGCTGTAGAAGATGACTATAATAATAATGTTGACATCAGTAACAGTAATTAGTGCACAGACTGTAGAGTGGATGATTCGTTTTCCTATCTGCTGGAGTGGGCATGCTACCCTAGCAAACGGGTACAATGTTAGTACCTTTACTTTGTTTTGTTCATTTGCTCAGTTTATTAATGAAATTGAATACAATAAAGAAAATCCAACTTTTCTCCCTCTCCAGAACATTTGTTGACAAAAGCACATTTCAGTTTGGTTTAATGGGTGGAGTCTTCATTAGTAAATGGCAAAATATCAATTTTTTATTCAAATCTATTTTCAATGTACAAACCAATTCATACCCTCCCAAAAAAGCCATCTGCACATATATTCTTGAATTTAAGCAGCATATAGGACTTGTTCAAATTTGTATGGTTTTGTCCAAACAACAACTCTACTGCTGGGTGTGACCTCACCCATCTGCACGCTGGTGCCATACATTTTTCAAGAGAACATTAGAACAAATGGTATAACTGTGAGAATGTCCAAGAAAAACACTGTGCTATACTCTGAACCACCTCAGGCAAAAAGTAAGTAAAGCATCAGTGCCACCAGCAGTATACTGTGTCATGCTGAGAGAGTTCTGCTAGCAGAACATCAGATTAGGAGGTACTGCTCGTCCTCAGTGGCCTCACTGAGAACGGCAATGTCCAGCTTGGTGTTACACTACACCAAAACACCCACTGAAGAGCAAAGTAACTGGAAGAGTGATAACTGTGGAGAAATAAGTAGATGGACTTTTGTTGGGAAGTGCAATTTGTCACTTAGATGCAATCCCGCAATATGAAGTTAAAGGGAAGGAAGGGTAATCAGAGAGATCATGGAACATGGTTAGAATATGACAACCCAAAAGCCTTTTATCTTCTACTGAGTTTCCCCTTATTCTGCTTCTATTGAGATGCATTTTCCCTGTTCATTTATATTCCAGGTTGATAACATATTTCCTTTGGCTTCCCTCTATTATCAACCTCAACAACTGAAAAATTCCTTTTCAAGTGCAGTTCTACAAAATGGAAGAGTGAAAGTGAGAAGTACAGGCACGCAGTGGGAGGCACTGATCAACACCAACAGATCATTTATCTAAGTTCCCTTTCCATACAAACTTTTCCTGAGCCTTTTAAGTTTCTGATCTGTCTCCAGGTTTCTATGTTTCTCTTTAAACCTGCTGATCCACTGAAGGGAAGATCCACCCAGGCAGCAACAAATATTTTTTGCCAGATTGAAGTTTTTAATGAAGAAAATATGCTAAAAGTTTATAAACTTCTGGAGGAGTTTTGTGGGTTTTTTTGGTTAGGTTTTATTTTTGTTGTTGGGGTTTTTTGGTTGGTTGGTTTTTTTAACACAGAAAGAGAAGCTTGAAGTGCCTCATAGAAAAGTGATTCTCTGTGCAAAATCTTCTGGAGATAGGCTTAACGGACAGATAAAATTAAATGCTGTATTTAACCTTCATTATTTGCTTCTGCTGTTGAGAAGACCACGTTTGCATATGAAGAGCTTCTCCAAGATACTTCAGAAAGTAAGTCAATGTGAATTAAAAACACAATTATACTCTTGGAAAAGAGATGTCAGCAGAAACACATCTTTTACTAAGGTAGATGAGATAGTTTCAGTAATCCTGTTCCTAACACTGAAGGAGACCATTAATCAAATTATCCCAAATATGAATATAAAGCAATGCAATTGAATGGAAAATAATAGGTATTCAAAAGAACAGCCATGATTATTTTTCAAGGAAGAAATTGTCAGGAAGTGAGAAACAGATGGCTGAAAGTGATGGATGAAGACACATTCTCCTATGCAAACTAACAGACTTAATTAATTACTGAAATCACATTGGTATTATGGAATGACATTAATGATCCATAATAAAAACTGACAGTCGTGCCTTATCAGCTCCCTTTAAAACAAAACAAAAGAAATTATTTCAAAAAGAACATGTTTGCATCCTACAGGTTTAACCTACAGACCACAAATATATCTTTCACCACTTTCCCATCAATTTAATTTAAAAAAAAATATGGAACTGTAAAATTGTAAACAAAACCATTCTCTCACCACATTTTCCATAACAGAATTACTAAAGCATATTAAACAAAATTGAAACTTCACCTTAACTATTTCCTCTATGAAGCAGACATGTGACACGGGATCTCTTTTCTTTGTCAATACTTTCTGCAAATGCTGCACCTGTAAAAAAGAATTCATTGAGAGGAAAAGTGACACCTGAAGTCTTATATCCAAAATTGCATAACCAGACAAACAGGAATTGTTTTAACTACTAATTAACTACGGAGTTAATTAACTAACCTGTCCACACGCAGCACAGATCTGATCCATGAGTTTCTCCATGTTTGTCCAGAGGGCTGCTCGAAAAGCTGCTGTGTTCCCAGGTGTTGGCATAGCAGCTCTACCAGGGCCACCTAAATGGTTTTTAAAAACACACAGCAGCACACTTCAGCTTCTACGTGTGAAAATTAAAATATTAAAAATATAGATCTCTAAGCACTTTGATAAAGACTTATTAGGCCTAAAATACCTTCAGAACAGAGCTTTGTGAATGGCCTCAGTTTTCTCAACTGAGAAGTCAACTAAACTCTGAAGTTCAGTGGGGATATTTCAGTGTTTTGTCACTGCTACACAGTCTACAGTTCAGACCTCCACAGAAACACCAAGGTAATGCCAGTGAGCAGTTGTGCAGGATGCAGTACCAAAGTGAAATGGTAGAGAGAGTAGCTGTGAAAAATACAAATAATTACCAGCTCAGTACTTGTATACATAGACCAACTCTAAAAGAAAAGATATTCTAATTGCATGGCATGAAGCCTCTAAATCATCACTTCTCTTCAGAGGGGATGAATTTCTTTATTACATTTTTGGACCTCCAGCTTGTTGCAAAATTAAAAAAAAAAAAATAAAAAAATGTAGATGTTCATATTGCCAAAGTTCAAATTTGCCTCCCCACCCAATTCCTCAGTATTCTGAAGTATCTGGGGTAACTGGGAACTAAAGGTTAAATAGTGCAACATTCCTTCATATTGAATATTCTGCTTGGAAACAATTTCCATCTGACAAAAGCAACATGATGTAGTTGCAGGCTTCTTCCACTCCTTGCAAATAATTTCTATCTGTGATCCTCCCACCAATACAAAGAAAGTAGAATTTTGATTCACCTTTCCATGAGAAACTGCTAAGAAAATGTTGCAAAGTTGTAAACTATTGAGGACAATTTTCTGGGCAAGTTAGTAGAGAGAGGCAGGGAGGAATAAAGGTAAAACTTTGAGCCCAATAACAGATAGACCCAATTTTGGCTTACAAAGCCAAATTAGATGATTTCTGAGATATGCCTACTCCCACCCTCTCCTGGTTAAAGCAAGCAGGGAAACATTCCTATAATAGGCTTGGATGTGACAGTTTCTTCCACTTGACAACATACTGTACTCCTGTCAAAAAAAAATCAGATATTCTCTGTAAAACAAGTATCTTTTGTTACCTCTTGTAACAGTTTGAGATGGTTGGGTCAATACTTTGATATCCAAAGCATTTTTTATGTTCTCCTCCAGAACTGTGCAGTATCCATCCACCACATTATCAATGGTATCCTTCAAAGTCCCAAGGTTATGGAAAACCTGAAGAGCAGTTCCCACTTGAGTAGGATTCTGGAAAAAGAACATATTAAAAAATAACTGTTATCTTTAACTGTAGTATTGGGGGCTTTTATCCATGATGAGGCATCGTTTTAGTGGGCAAGTTCAACTTTTAAGTTCAGTTCTGCCAATTCATCTCACTTAAGTAACTGGCATCCTCAGTGCATAACAGAAAACAGAGGGTAACGCAGAGGACTGATGTCCTTTGATTGCTTAGCAATGCTTTGCTTGGCTTCTTTTGGTGCTATCCTCTGAATATGACAAAGGGAAAAAAAGGAACTGGTGGCACAGCTGGCAATACCTAACCTGGGGGGGGGGTATCGGTGATTGATCCAGTAATTCTGGGGTTAGTTACAGCACAGCTGTATGCAGCTACGGTGTAGCTAAGTAATACTGTTTTAACATGCAGTGTTTGTTACAGTACTGTCAGTTAAGTGCCGAATAGTTAATTAAATGCTTAAAAAAAAAAAGCATTAATGAAGGGTAAGCAGAAGCAAGCAGGTCAAGCCCCTACTACTGATTATGGCAGAATTTAAGCTTGTATCTTTACATTTCTATTTCTAACACTGATAACAGCGTCATCTTCCTCACAGCAGAATTAAGAATACAAAGCAACACAGTGATTATTTCCAAAGTCGAAGAAACAAAACACAACACAATATCAAAACAGGAGAGTGAAAACTGACCAAAAACTGTTCAGGTCCAGTGTTTAAGAGACCTTTGATTAAGATTGAATCTGATGATAATTCCACTGAGCAACACTAAACATTGGCATGGGTGTTATTTAGCAAGAGAAAAGCCTCAAATTACTGCCTTTGAAAACTAAGCACTGTCATCCATACACTGAATACTGCTTTTTTAATTAGCATTCACAGGCAATTACTGGAGGGGGCGATCAGTTGATCATATACACATTAGAGATGCAGTCTTTTGTCTTTTTTTTTTAGTGACTTCTGCCAGCAGTAAAGAACATGATCTGACAGAAACCCTGGCACCCAGACTGGACAGAAGCATCTGAAATCAGAGGCACTTCTCACTACAAGCCCCATTTCAGCTTTAACAGTGAGACCTCACACCACTGCTTTCTTCCTGCTTGTGGCTGCTGCAGTAGAGCCACTAACATTGAAAGGGTCTGCTGCAGAATCAACACAACTCTGCTCCATCTTCCCCAGACACACACTTCTGAGTCAAAGAAAGAGGGTGTGATCATCTGCCTTCCAACTTTCACTGAAATCAGGGCAGAAAAGCCACAATGAAGCTTCTGCACTGAGGATACACTTGCTGGTATATCCACCTACTGCAACAGGTTTCCTGATCTGTTGGTGAACAATGTGTTCTCCTCAAACCTCATGTTTCAGAGGTCACACCACTAGAACTACACATTCATGTCACTCTTTCTAGGGTTTCTGGAAAAAATCAGAACCACAGTTGAAGCAAAAAAGCCAGATCCCATCATCTTCCCCAGCTCCAATGAGGAGTTTCCAGGTTTAGTGGAAAATCAGGCATGTATTATGGTTTGCAGACCTTATACTAACTGTACTGGTTTCTTTTTCCAAACAGTGTGGGAGTTAATGAGCATTCCCAGCATAGTATTACGGGTCTGGGACTTGTAGGTTTAGTTTTTTGACAACTGGGTATGCTGTAAAATTTCTAAGCATCCTGTGGGTGTGCTTGTGGAGGTGGGAAAGTAAGCCATAAAGACTGGAAGATTAATGGGATGTCAGAAAATGAAGAGTAGTATAATGCAAGGAGGGAATTTGGGGACAGAATGAACAGAGAAAGAAAATATAAATGGGGAGAGGACGGGGAATAGAATGAAAAGACTCTGGAAGGAAGAAAGAGAATGAAACTGAAAGGAAGAAAAGCAAAGACAGAAAAGACACACCTCATTTATCAGCCTTTTCTAAACCATTTTAATTTTTACAGAATACTTACAAAATTATGAAACCAGGTAGAGAGTTGGTAATACAAAATCAATACCTTACTACTACAGTAAGGGAAACACTCAACCAGATTTCAACCAGGCTCTAATGTTCATATATAAAATAACCAAAAAAAAAGCAGAACAGCATCAAAGGGTCAGCTGGGCACTATCCAGCCTTGAATAATCAATGGCCAGATACTTATTTTCCTGTCAAATAGGCAGTATGGGCATAAATAATTGCTAGCAAAAGACAAATCTCAGAGCTCCCACATCACAGTTTAGCAAACTAACTCTGCAGCTACTGGTCAAGAAAGACATGAAACCATGCTCTGACAGAACCTGAACTACATTTCAAAAGAGCTGGCTTTAGCCAAAAGCTGTCAAACCAAAACACATCATTATAGGAAACCTGATATTCACTCAAAGTGTCTTCCAAATCTAGTACAAAGATCAGAATGGAACAAAGATTATGCAGGAGACCTATTTCTTATTTGCTTTAAATTGTGGACGTGGCCACAGACAGAGGGATTCTTGTATAACAGAACTAGAGATACATCAAATTCTTGACAAGGTACAGCAAAGTGTCTTTTTTTGGTTTTGATGTTGTTGTTCCATTTATACTAATTTTCTCACGCCCAAAAAACAGTTTTGGTTTTATGTGCCCCGGACAGGCTATGTTACAGTCCATCATTGGTTTGAGACTAATCCTCAGAGAATTGAAATTTTTATGCACAGTTAGTTTCTAGGTTTAGACAATATGTTAAAAAAAAAATGAAGCATCTCTTGGGGAAAAACATTATGTGAAAAGAGAATGTTGAAGTGTAGGAAGGAAACAAATGATTGTACTTTCATGTTTGCATACACACCTTAAAATTAAACTGTTTATCATTAATACACAATGTACAAAAAGTTGTGAACCGGTATTACAGAATTTGCCGCTACCAACAGACTTTATTGATAAGAATTTGTCCCTAATATTTTCCTTCTATTTGACAAAGCTTAAAGTTAAATAGATCTGAGATTCAAAAGATTGACACAATTTTTATCAAATGGAAAGCACGCATTCAAAGTTAAAAAGAACTAACTACAACAGTGATTTACAATGAAAAATGGAATCACATCAGAGAATAATATTCAGAACAGCCATCCAACAGGAACAATGGGGGAAATAATGTAACTATTTTTGAGATGGAATTTAATGAATTCATCAGCAGTATTTTATAACCAAGTTGTCTGCCACTGCAGGCAACTACACTTAGCAATTTTAAAGTGTGCTCCTTAGAATTTCTGCCCGTAAAATCCTATATAACTTTTTCTTTTAAGTGTCTTATTTTATAAATAAAGACTCCTAAGCAGTAGTTTTTACCAAACACAAAGTAGGTTGGTTCTACTATGCAAAAATGTGTGAACAGCTAGAGCAACAGCAAGACTTCTTTCTGCTTCTCACAAGGTTGTGTCTTCCAACAAAAACCCTTTTACACAACAAATTAGCATCATAAAAAAATTTGTACATATGGCATAAACTTTAAGCTCTGGCAATCATGAGAGCAGGGGGCAAAGAAAAACAGAACAGCATTTAGTAACATGTTAGCAATACAGCATAATTTAAAGTGCATACACACAACCATACACAAGTGAAATAAAACCATGACCCCACAAACTGTAAGCCCAAAACACTCCCTACTCCAAGATTAACCACAGTGATCTTCAGATTGCAAAAATCATAATGAATCAGGGAGTTAAGGAGAGATGGCATTAAGTCCACCAATAATACCCTTCTCCATTCAAAGCACTTCTCCATCTGGCATGTCATAACATAATATGTTACAGATACATTGAAACTAAATTCCACAACTTTAAGAGCTTAGGAAGACTCAGTGAATCATCAGTTCAACATATGAAGGAAATAAAAAAAAAAAATCAACTCGCTTAAAAGCTAGTTCTACCACGAAAAACTCTCACAAATATTTTAAAACATCAAGGTTTCTCAGCATCCATCAGGGAATCCATTAAGTATCTTGGTCACAAGGGTGGTATCAGCCACCACTTGAAAAAAGGCCTGGGTATTTCAATTTATGTTTTAGCAAAACACAAAGATACTCATTCAGCAGCAACTCTAAAGAGATGTTCATACCAGATGCATTTGCTCATTTTCCCAATCAATGAGAACTGTTAATTTTATTAACATCATTTTTGATTCATTTTATCCCATCTCATCCCATTTGGTTCTTTAGACAATCACAAACAAGCAGAAAAGTAAGTGTCATGCAGTCATTAGTGTGAATGTCTTTTTTTCACAATTATATCACGTGTCTGTTTTCAAAAGCAGGCGACCAGACTCAATAACCCAGAAGATGCTGTCCAGGCCAGCATGACAGTTACAATCATTCTGCACAGCAGAACCCCTTTTGGTCACTTCCTTTCCCACAAAGATAATAACCCTGTGAAGACTAAATAGAAACGTCATTAGAGATTTAAATAAACACATATCACAATTCTAATTTGAAAATACCTCCTAGGAGGGAACCAAGTAATTTTTTTTCTGTCATCTGCCAATATTGCAGATATTGTATAACATCTACGATTGTAATCTTTTATTTTACAATTGCCACTAGTGTTATCAGAACAAACTCAGGAAAATATGGCTAAAAAAAGAGCAAGATTCTTCTTCATCATTAGAAATGCAGCTTGGATGAGCAAGCCTGGTCCTCACAAGGGAGTGTGGTAATGACACTGAGTTAATTTGGGGACAGGAAGATTCCTAGCATAAGGTCAAACCAAAAGCAAGAAACTTGGATGACAGGCAAAACTAACTGGCTCCAGTGCTACAAGCACAGCTTCCAAACTCACACTTCCACCTTCTCAGGGTGGAATCCACCATGTGGATCTTTCTTTTCCACCCAGTTCTGTCTTAGAGAACTTCACATCATTATTTCTTTATCCAGTGTAAAGCTGTCCCTAAAATCCCATGCCTGAGGGTTTTCATCTCTGCGGACTATCAACTTCCCTCTCAAATGAAGATGTGTTCATTGACAAAAAATATTTACAGCAAATACTATCTGTGACAATTAACACAACTTTCATGAGG